AATCAAGTGTTACAAGAGAGTAACCTTTGTAGTTGGTTGATAACATTGATGCTTTGGGCATCTTCACAGCACTCAAAAAATCTCAGAAAGGTTTGTTTACTAGTAACTAGCACTAGCAACAGTCTGTAAATAGACTTCTGCTTTAATCTGTAAGCATTTGCACATACAGGTATACAAGCTGGCCAACTGTAAGATATCTTATACTTAAAAAGCAGTTTCATAGTTCATATGGTAAAACTAAATGAAATCTAAATCTTCTTAGCTTTGATAACTAAAAACGTTTCCTGGAGAAAAGGCATTCACAAAAGTTTATAGTGGGAAAGAAATAATGAATGAGCCTTCCCAAACGTTTGTTCATTACGAGTTATCAGCAGTTCGTGCAAAAACGCTGTCATCGGCAGTAAACTTAAAACTGAAACAGAAGCAACATGAATTGAGACTTTTTCCATGTCTAAATTCAGATATTCACTCACATAAAAGCAACACCCTGGAGATACTTGCAAAATCATCATTACTGAAGTGAAAATACACTTCTGCATATCAGTTTCATTCTAAGCATTCCTCCACATTTGACTAATCTACAATTTATGCTCCTCACAATCTATAATTAATACTCACGTAAGCTAGGTACTGCCAAACTGCCTAAGGAAGAACATAGTGCTTCTCCCAGAGAACTTAAAAATCTATTAATTTTTGCCTTAATCTTGTTTGGCAGAAAAATAGGAGGGGGTTATTCATGAACAAAGAGGAAATTATTAGAATAATATAATAATAATCACTCTGCAACCTGGAAATTTTAAAAAGATCATTTGCTTGTACAGTACATAAAGGTGTACTGTGTCTAAAGGTAGAAGTCACAATCAGCAAGCTAATACCCACCTAAAAAACTACATATTTCAACGCAGATATTACTCACAATTCAGTTTAGGAGAAAACAATATGAATTGGCATCTCTGGAAACCTAGAAGAGTAAATAGAGGCATCTAACTATGCCTTGAGATCCTACCTTTAGTGACCCAAATTGGTAAATGATTTCCTAAAATTAATTTCTGTTCAAGTAAGTATCACACAGAAAAACACAACAATAGAGCCACAGTTCACTGACATTAGCCAATATTAACAGTACAGGGGACAGAAAATCAGAAACAGGTCTTTAAAAATGAAAGACATTTTAGTCAATTTTCCAAATTTAAGGTTCTGCTTATTTGTTTTCTAGTTTTGGAGCCTTTAAAGACTTTACAGGGTTTCTACAGGAGTTACTACAACAAGAAACTTCCTGTGCTTTTAAAAAGAAGCTGGTATTCTCTTGTTAGTACCCAATTCCAGATGCTGGTAATTTAAGAAAACACCAAGTACTATAAGATTCCTAACAACATAATGACCGTTGACAATACTTTTAAATACTATGTTCTTTTGAAATCAGATTTATTTATGAACCACGTCTCTGGGCACATCACAGACCTATCCATCAGTTACTTCATGTGCAATGCTTCCAAGCGCTTGGAAATCTTATCGCTGGGATGGCTAGTAAATGGGACATCATCTGGACATTATAGTCATCCTGGTGTAACTTCAGCAGCCAAGCACCATGGCTGGCTTCCTGAAGTGCCTATCTAGAGCATGTTTTCAAAGTTTTTACTGCCACAACATGCCAGGGGCTCGCTTGGAGATTGCGGAGAGCACCCCATGCCTACTGCTTCAAGCAATTTTAAGCAGGGAGCAGAAGGATCTTTTTGTTTATCCGCATCATCTCACTTTCAGTCACCCAAAGCCGTGACCTGGCACGTCACAGACTACTGCTCACTGAGCACCAGGGTCATCTAAACAAAATAAATACCCTTGGATTGGGATACACCAACGCGAGTCCTACGCAGGCATTACTGATGGTAAGGGGATTCCACACTGACGCAATTGACAGTTCAGCCTGCCAGCTCCCTGAGCAGAGAGGGAAGGGAGGTAAGACTCACTCCCTGGCCTACTTCAGGCATCCAGGATGCATAATAATACTGCTTTCTCCCTGGATTTTTTTTTCTCTACTATGGCAGTCTTTGCACGATGGGCAAAAGCTCTTACCTGGTGCAGAGCTCAATTCTTATGCCACCCCTTATGAACTGCACATGTTCACATAAATAAGGAAAACTAACACTAATAAAAATGCTGTTATATTAAAAAAAAAAAGGGGGGGAAGGGGGGAATAAATAAGGGAAGTAGCTGAGAATCTGAAAAAACCATGTCTTGTGGCCTAGTTCTTAAATAAACCCAGAGAAAGGGAAAAAGGGAAATATGGTGAGAAATGCGGTCCCGTACCAACAACATTCCTTTTACTGATGTTCTCATCTGATTTTATAGGACTTACTCTTGGGAGAGAGAATTAAGTACTCTTGAATACTCATTGCTGTACTGAAGTCTATATCTTCAGTCTTGAATAAGGCTTCTCTACTTCATTTGTCTACAAACTAAAATAGTATAATTTACCTGTATGTCTCACAGAGATGTGGCAATTATCTGACAATAGGAGGTGAGGTATAAATGACAGATACTTTTTAATAATCAGGAATAAAATTATTCGTTAGAGCAACCTGTTACACACCTAAAATTAAAATCCTCCTGCAGTCAACTTTCTCACGTTATTATGTGGGCTTGCTGGTGTATATTCAAGATGGTTCATATTATGGTTAATGGCAATGGTTTACTTTTTTTTCAATTATTATTTCTTGAACAAAAAACAAACACTGAAACAGGTCATAGATTTCTATACAAGGTGGGGAGATTTCCCAAAAAAGGGGGAAAATGTTTATCTTGAGTATGACCTGCAAAACCAAACAGCAACTATTCTTTCCCAATATAGTAATACTAGGCTCTTCCGAAATACTGCAATACAGAACTGTAGGAAGTAGCAATAAAACGCTTTAGACATCTATATCCATACTGGACAGATCAAGCAAATTGAGGCAATACACCACTGCAATATAAAAATTCCAGTTTTGATGCACAGCTTGGCATTGTTCTTACTGACCTTCAGGTTAATTATGACAACTAGGCTTACTGTGTACCCTGCACTGATCCCTTGTCTCCATGACCTTAAGTTGGAAACAAGATGAAAAACTTCTTCTGAATCACATTTTCCTTTTCGTTTGAATAAACACGTGAAGAATGTTTATCCTGTAATCCATAGCAAACAATTCTTTAACTAGTTCAAACAAAAACAAACTAAGCATAGTATCAGTACATCTGATATACTGCACCTTTGCGTTTACTTAAAGATGCAAAGTAGTTGTCACATTTTATTTAAAAACAGATCCTCTTTAGGTAAAATTCTGAATATACTTGGCAAAACTTAAGATGTATTGATTCGTAACTAGTTTTATCTTATTCTGAAAACAGGTTGCCCTGATTGTTCATAAAATACACTACATATCCTATCTGTTTTAGGGAGGTAATAAACAAATACTTGAGGAAAGTCCAGGATCTTGTGAAAGAGTGGCAGTACAGACGTCACAAGTCAGGGAACCGATAGGTATTCAAACTTGTTCACAAGGAAAGATCAGGTCCTACGTGTTGGTCTGATCTTACTCCCTCTGAAAACAGTATCCCTTGATTCAAAGAGTGCTAAAAGACTCTCTGAAACTCCTCACTTTGTAGCTTGCCTATACATATGCAATATGCCCTGTATAATGGGACCTTTCAACTAGCAATAAAAACTGAAAACACAGTTCTGAGAATAGGGCAATGACAGGCAGATAACTCTTAAAACAGAGATTTCATTGCTGCTAGGAGTCTCTGAAGACAAGAAAAACACAAGGGCTATTACATTATGGGACTACACTGCCCAAGAGTGTGAACATCTCACATCTTGGAGGACAAGTTGAACATGGATTTTAAAACAGCCAATAAGAAACAGTACATACTTGGTAAAGGCAGTCAAAGCAAGACAACAAAATTTTAAAATGCCATAAGCCCAGTCAAAAACACTGTTTTCTGACTTTTTTTTTTTAAGTCCTAATTGAAACTAAAATGGTTAAAAGATGTTAACATACCGATCATCAGCTGCTTTCACAGACATGTGAGACACAACCAACCTATTTAATTAAGACTTTCTTATTCTCTGTCATTGTACATGTTGATCCCCAAATACTCAGAGTATCAGTTGATGACAAATCTAAAAATAAATGCTGAAGCACGGCAGCAGGCTGACTAATTCAGCTTTAAAAATTAACTCCAGAAACGTAGCTACACATTGTTTGCAAACCAAAAACCGTGAAAGAAAGCGTACTTATGAATGGAGCAGTGTGGAAACTATTTCAATAAACTGCAAAACAAACATACACACACAGAGGAGATACCACACACGGTCCCCGGCTGACACGTATCCTCAACTTCCAGGGAGCACTCGGTCTCAGAAGCGCACCTCTGAATGTTGGTGTCCACCCTGACTATTGTGACCTCGGTGCCGAGCGTGTTCTTTCACAACAAACCGCGTTACGAGCTGTCAGCATTACCCCTTTACTAACAAAATTCAGCCTGCAGCTCCCGTGGCAGCAAAAACCGCCCTTATCACCTTTTCACGCTGCTTTCTACACTATTTTTCTAGGAAAGAGCTGTGGTTCAGAACGGGATGCTGTGAACCGAAGGGGCAACTTGCAGGGATTACTGCCAGCAGCCCAAACCGATCTCTTTTTTGTGCTTTTAAACGGAGACACTCAGGGAAGCGGTGCAGCTTTCCAAGACCCGCATCACTTTCACAACTTGTCCCGACGTTTAAGAAAACTGCGGGTAAACCACACCAGAGAGCTCTTCCCGCCCCGGAGCTCCCATCGAGGGGACCGGCTTCCCGCGGCACCTTTCCCGGCCGGGGGCCGTTTCGCCCGTCGGGTCCCTCCCGCCCCACACGGGACCGGGAGCGCGGGGGGATCCCGGCGGGGGCGGGAGGTGATGGGAGGCGGGTGGGATGGGGGGGTAGGAGGGTGCTGACGATCCGGGGGCGGCGGCGGGGCTCCTACCTTGTTCGAGGCCATCTCGCTGACCGAGTGCCGGGTCTGCAGGGTCTCCAGCTGGTCCAGGCACCAGTCCAGCTCCTCCAGGGTCTCGCTGGCCAGTTTTTGGTAGGCCTCCTCTGCGAAGAGACAGGGAAAGGCGTACTCAGTTCGCAAGCGTTTGACGGGGCTAGCGGCGAGCTCCAGCGGCTCCATCCTCCGCTGCCCGGTGCCCGCACATGAGTGCGGCTCCCTCATATTGCCAGCGCCGGGCACCGCGTCTCTTCCCCCTCCGCGGGGCCGCCGCCGAGCCCAGCGCTCAACTTGCCGCCGGCCGGGCTCGCCGCCGCCGCCGCCCTCCCTCGCCCGTCCCGTCCCGTCCAGGCCCGCCCCGCGGTCCGCCCCTCGGCGGGCAGCGCCGAGCTCCGCGGGCGCGCAGCGGTCCCTGAGGCGGCGTCGGGAGGCCGGGCCTGGGCGCGGGCGGGGGGGTGAATCAGCGCGGCCGCGGGCTACGGCCACCGCGCTTCCTGTTTTGGCAGCTCGGACGGCGGGGCCCGCCGCCCCACCGGCGGTTTCACACTCAATCACACACACACACACACGCACCCCCCATACTCCGCCGGGAGCCCCGCAAAACCCGGCGCGGAGCAGCCACCGCGTCGTTGTCCCCGTCTTCTCATACCTCCCCACCGGAGAACCATGAGAACGAAGGGGTTAAATGTCGGTGCAGCGCGGGGAAGATGGAAAAACCCGCGTTAAGTGCTCGGGATGAGGATGACCTGCCCGAAGCACCTGGAGCTAAAGGAGTGTTCAAATAACTGCAGCCGTGTTTGCGCTCGCCCAAAAGCCTCTGTGTGTGTGTGTGTGTATGTACATGTGTGTGTGTGTGTGTGTATGTATATGTGTGTGTGTGTGTGTATATGTGTGTGTGTGCAAACGAAGTATCACATGTCGGCTGTCAGCCAAAAAAACAAAAAAAGGCAAAAAACCCAATAAAACCAGGCTGATGAAAGTTTCAGAACTGCACCTTGCCACGCAATATGGGAAACTGACCCGGTACCAGTATGGAAAGTCATGGCTTAATCAAAAATCTATCCGTATCACATCGGAGCTAACTGTGTTAAAACTTAGAAAAGTTTCACTGAGAGAGGGGAAGATACTCCCTTCTTCAGTAACTCTCCCAACAGCAGGACATCTGCTGGTATGCCAATAATTTCCCAAAAATAATCCCATCTCTAGGGTGCGAGCCTCACCTACAAAGCCTGCCTACTTTTTTTTTTTTTTTGTCTCAAGTGGATCAGAAGGGGAGAATGCTTCTGCACAGTGGACTCAGCGCTGAGTGAGTTTTAGCCCAGGCACGCTGTTTTGCAAGCTGTGCATCTGAAACATCAAGTTTTGAAACTCCTGGCATGCATGTTTCTGGATCAACTACATACAAACATAATTCCAAGGTAGAGAAATATTTGTTCAGTGGGCTTGTTATTCCCATCTAAAACATCTCCCTTGACTTGTTTCACATCACATTAACCTTATTTTCAGTATGTCAGACAAGCAAAAAAGTCAGGCAAACAAATTAACTAAAACTCCATTTTAAATAAAACACCCCAGCATGGACTACTGCCAAACAGCTCAGTGCATTACTGTTCAACATCTAGGATAATAGCTTTGTATCTTTTTACATTTCAGAGCACATGCCCAAAAACTTCTCATTCCTTCACAGCTGTTAAACTTTGCATACTTCTGGCTATTGCAAAAACACTCCACAATTTTGAATAATGTCCATTCACCTCTGGGAAAAGGCAATAGGAGAATAAGTTTGGGTTGAGATTAATTGGCAGAACGATTTAAAGAAAATTTTGCAGTGCCTGCCCGGATGATGATTAACCTACCACTTCAGCAAACACCACTAACCGATACTCAACAAAAAACTTCCCCATTGAATTGTAAATACTTTCTTTAAGACGTGTCATACTTACTATAAAGGCTATCTGATCCAAAAGAATTCCCCTGGCAAATAAACTCAGATTTTTCCAGCCTGTTTATCCATCAAAAGAGAATCTGTGACGTTCTGCAACACAGCAGACATCACAGCTCACTAGTTCTTGAATGTGACTGGTTTACTGATCTCGCAGAGTAGATTCCATCAAGATCAGTACTGGAAATAGAAATAACTTTGTTTATAATGTGTTTGTAAGTGTATTGTGCTACGTGCTTTTGATGAAGCAGAGATGTGGTTAATGTATGCATAGTTATCTGATGACCTTATACAATGCTTTCATTGAGGATAAAAAGCATAATGAAGTGAGGTAAAATGAATCTGTATGACGTTATTTTGCTGCTAGCCTGCAGCCTGCCCTTCAGCAGTTCTTGAAAATCAGATATGGGGAAACGGTGTTTTTCTTCATCATCCCTTCTAATACTTAAGAGAGTAAGAGGGTAAGGTTTTTCCAAGAAGTATGAAAACAACGAAAGAAACTTGAAGGATACTATATTTAGGTAAAAGTACTAAAACACTTAGTTTGTTATTTATTTTAAAACTTACGTTTCTTGTTAGCCATGTAACATATATTACCAACAGCACCTGACATTCAGGAATCTTTGTTTACTATATAGCTTCCCTGTGTATCTCGAAGGGCATTAGAAACCATAACCCACCACTCACAAGGAAGTCCCACCACCTTTAGGATATTTCTCATCATCTGCTGTTCCCAACTTCCACCAAGACTCCAAGAGTTTGTGGCTGCCATGGGGACCCAACTGACCCCTCAGATTGAGTAAACTTCTGATGGCCAGTGATGGGCTAAAGACTTGCTGGACTCGGCGCCTCCTGCCAATTCTCCTATGGCAGGGCTGTCAGGCCAGCCCTGATAGCTTAAATGGAAATAAAAAGGGTTTCTAACCCTTTCTAAAAGGGTGACAAAGTACCCATCAAACAAGCACGACCACTTTGTTCCCACTGTTCTGAAAGCAGGAAAGCTTTTTTCTAAACAGTACTGGAGCTGTAAATTTGGCCCACACTTTTGTTGTTAGACAATGCAGTGGAAAATGTTGTCGAGGTTAACAGCTTTTCAAGTATAACACCCTGTCACCTCTAAGGTAGCACCCTGTAATTATTCCAGCCAGGACTGATCCACTAATCAGGCTTTTTGGTATAGGCGCATGATCAAGTTCCTCCCTCCCATCCCCAATTATGAAGTCCTAACACAGATTAACTTCTGTAAACGAGAGGGTTTTTGAAATTTCCAAGCTTCATTTTACATCTCATTAGGCCATAAAAAGACAGACAGAAATAAAGTTTAACACCAGTTGCTTTAACAAGTTGCATGTTATTTTATATATGCCTTTAAAAAAAGGAAGTGACAGCAAATGTTCTCTTTACAGTTCACAGATTACTACAAACAATTCCACCACATGTAGCTTTCAGTATCATATGTAGAAAAAAACAAATGAAAGCCTAGCAGAAAGAAAAAGCTCAGCCATAATCATCTGGCAGGGCACATCTATTTTTTTAAATAGGGTGCTCTACTGTCTGTTTCTGTATAAGACTTGATTCTTAGCACAGCTCCTAACACAATACCAGAGACAGCATTCACAACTTTACTCAGGAGCAACTTCTGCTAAAAATTTTCAAGGGGATATTACTACTTGGCAATAATTAAGCACAGTGTCCACTTTACTTAACAATTCTGCATGATTTTCATATACAGTGTCCTACTATTCCCAGACAACAAAAAGCAATACTAGACTTTTCTACTAGTGCTCAAGCGTATTTGTACTAACCTTTTCAGTACTTTAAGGAGTTTCAGCACGGCAGAATGAAAAAGTTAAGTACAGATTCTCCATTGTTGTCCGATCACTTGAGATCGTTGACTAATGCAAAGAGGCCACAAAAGAATTGACTCAGCAAGCGCACAGCCAAGGGCTTTGACCACTGTGTTGCCTTAAAATGGGAGTGTCTTGGAGGCAAGACAAGGTCACTGCTGAGCAGTGGCATGATCCTGTTAGGCTCAGCATGGGCATTGTCTTTTGGGGATGCAGGCAGCAGAAAGCAGCTCTGGAACCCCCCAGGCTACTCTAAATGAAGATGAGCTGAAGATCTACTGTGCGATACAAACCCTGGACATCTTCCCTGAATTTTCTGACTGTCTTATTGCTCTCCTACCTCGTGTAAGCTTGAAGTTTGGAGCAATAGAATTGCTGGGCTGAGTTTCGGTTTCTCTTACTACTACAGCATCTCAAAAAACTCCTCTGTGGTTCAAACGAAGATTTTTTCTGTAAATGAGGATGTTTGTACTTACAGCCTTAACTGATGGCCTATATATTGAAGTGACTAACATTTTAGCCAATGTTGGCACCATCTATTAAACATAACAATGAGTCAGCATAGAAGTAGCATCTGTTTTCTTACAATTTTTTAAAAAATAATTTGTTTTTAGATTTTACTGAGAAAATCTTAAATATTGTGACTTTAAAGGCTATCTTTGTGGAGTGTTCATATGTCTTCCTGTTGTTAAAATCTGATTATGGAAGATATTTTTGTTTATCATCTAGAAATTTGCGGACATCCCTCCACAGTCACAAGTAAAACAAAATTCTCTTGATCAGATTTTGGAATGAGCGTCTGGGAAATCAACTCAGCTGCAGCCGACTTCTCAGAAACTGCTTTCACAGTCCTACTCTGAACACTCACTTTCTTCCATACCAGGAATCTCTCCAAGTTTCCACTCTAGTGAAGAAAAATCCTCTGTACCACTTGGTAGCCTTATGCATAGACAGACCGAGTCCCAATGACCAGGACTAGTCTTCTTGCAGGATGTGATAATCTGTAGGACTTCCCCATCGTACTGCTTTATACAATGCCAGTAGCACTAGCCTTAGGCTACGGAAACTGCCTTATCTCCTGGAACAGAGAATGTAGTAACCTCCAGGAAATAATAGGAGCAAAATGATAACGTCCAGTTATGTACAACTTGCCAAAATGCTTGACTACACTTATAAAAAAAGACTGTATAAAGAAATTCATGGACAAAACACACATTAAGTGAGGACCTAGAAAAAAAAGGTGTGGGTTTTTTCCCACCAACATTTTGTACTTCTCTCATGGTCTCAGAGAAATCCACATATGCCATAAAACAATCTC